TTCTCTAGAAAGATGGAGCTCAGCACTAAGTTTTGTCTATGAAAACTAAGTGCACTTCTCCTTTGGCTATCAAGAACAAACACCCACCACACACTATGAAGAAAGGAGTATTCATTTATTTGAGATTAAACTACACCTGTGGTGAGCACCGTGTTTTGAATGTGAAATGTCCCGATAGGCTCATGTGTTGGAACACTAGGTCCTCAGATGATGCCACTGTTTGTAAAGCTTACGAAATGTTTAGGAGGTAAGGCCTCTTTGGATGAAATGGATCACTGGGGGTGGGTTTTGAGGTTTGATAGCCCCACTTCCCTTTCTGTCTATTCTCTGCTTCCTGTCTGCAGAGGCGATGTCACCAGCTGCTTCTGGCTTTTGTCACCCCACCATGGTGGACTGTCTCCCCTTGAACTATAAGGATAAACCCTTCCTCAGAGACAAGCCATTCTTGTCTGCCATTTTATCACAGCCATGACAAAGGCAGCTAATACACTGAGGAGATACCTATAGCCTCGAGACCACAGCTCCAGGATATGTGGAGCTGCAACTCTGAGACCTTGTCTCTTCTCTGCAAGTGAGAGCCATTCCCTCCACTCAAAGTGAGACAGTTTTCCCTCTCTAGTATAAAATGCAGCTTCTGTCTGATCCCAAGTTTTGCATGTGGGGTTTTCAGCCCACATGATAGGTATATTAGCTATAGCCAAGAAGGCTGGACTGGGTCAGCTCAACACAGTACAGCCAAAGAGGCTAGACTGGGTTAGCCTAACACATGTATTAGCTACAGCCAGGGAAGCCAGACTGGGTCAGATCAACACTACCTATCAGCTATACCCAAGGAGGATGAACTGGGTCAACCCAACATGGTAGGTACACCAGCTACAGCCAGGGAGGCTGAACTGGGTCAGCCCAACACAGTACATCAGCTACAGCCAGCAAAGTCAGACTGGGTCAGCCCAACATGGTACATCAGCTACAGCTGTGGATGGGTAGAGGGGCTTTCAGCCAAGGCCTGCTGCTGAGGGGACATCTCAGCAAAATATAGAGCTGACCAGCACCTGCCACAGAAGGGGCAGCTTCACCCTTTTCCTCAATCTCCACTAAGTGCTTCAGTAGAAGCAGTTTCTCATAAACAGCTAAATTCTATTTCAGTTACATGCATGTCACCCCTGCAGGAAAGGAGAACGCTGAAAACCATCTTGTTGACATGGAATTTATACAACAGGAAACCCGTGCAACCTTATGCTTTAGAAAGTGATAGGAAATGAGCAGCAGCACACAATGACTGAGGTGCAGCCCGCCTTGCCATCCCAGGTATCTTCTTTGCTTTTCAGGGTGTTATTCTCTTTTGTAGCCGTCTAAGCAGTCACAGATCCACTCAATTCCCACAACGAAGATTTCAGCTAAGCAACACACTAGGTTCAGACAAAAAGGATCTACATTTCGGAACTTTCCAAAGACTGTATTTTGTATAACATACACTATGCAAAGGCAGAAAAATGTATTTGAAAAATGAATATGATCATTTCATCCCAAAGGATGTTTACACATGTTCCGAAGTTTTTGGCATAGCTTACCAGGAAATCTTAGCATACACAAGGACAGTTCTTGCTTGACTGAAGTTAACTGAAAACTTTAGACTCTGATGGATTAATAAACACTGCTTTTATGAATAGAATCAACTTCATAATGGAAGTTTTAGAAGATAGGTGGATTTTTTTTCCCAGCACCTCCTAACATACTCTATAATTTTTATTGTATTTCTTTTTTGTTATCTGCTTCCCCTGCTAGAAGACAATTTCACTAAGGAAGGGACTTCTGGTTGGCTGCATTCAGAGATCACAGAGCCTGGCATGGAGAAGGCAGCCTATGAATTGTCTGAATGACCAACTGGTTAAAGTTAGGCACGATATAATTTCCTCATGACCTACAGATTCCAGGAGAGTGTGATTCGAGCAATGCCTTGAAGGCTGGTTACAGTAGCGGGTACTGTGTCTGGATTAGTACTCTAGGACTGAGTGCGCAGTCAATGTCCAGGCTGAACAAAAATGACTAAAGCAGCCACTGTGCATGTGATCGCCATCTCTCAGTGAAGACATTCTCAGGACTCTGCCTCGAAGCTCATTTTGACAGACAGCAACTCTTTGTGGCAGGATGCCTTGCTTTTTAAATCTTAGAAATATTTATTCTTATTTGTTTTTATGTGTGTGTGTCTGTACACGGATAGGTACACAAGCGTGAGGATGCTCTAAGAGGTCAGAAGGTGTTGGACTCACAGGAGCTGGACTTACAAGTAGTTGTGAACCACCCAATGTGGATGCTATGAACCAAACTGGGGTCCTTCGTAAGAGTGGCAAGGGCTCCTAACCACTGAGCCATGTCAACATTACTCTCTACTTCAGATCCTCATGGATCTAGTGGATATTACTCTTTGTGCTAAGAATGTGTCTTTATCAGGCATCTTAGGTCTTTTTTAAAAATGTGGTATCTACTTAGGAGTACACAAAAAGGAAGACACCATAGCCAGTCTGAACCTCGTATTGACTAGATACCTCCCCTTCTTGCGTAATATAGAGTTCAGGGAGGAGCTGAGTTGTTTATAGAAAAAACAAAAATCAAATATTCTTTTCTCTGCTGGAAAAGTTACAAAGAGAGGAAGAGGCTCCTAGACACAGTTTGGACAAAGTGGAGGGGAGAAGGGAAATGCCGTCTCAATCTGAACAAGGCAACTGAGAAACTACACAATCGAGATTTTCCACAGTGTATCTTAAAAAGTGTATCTGAAAAGAGTTTTAGGGAACTGTAACGGCTAATTTTGACTGTCACCTTGGCTGGATTAAGACACGCCTGGAGATGCCTGTGGAGGTGTCTGTGAGAACATTTGCAGAGAGGCTTGACTGAGGAGGGAAGACTCTCTCTAAAAGTGGTGGCACCATTGTCTGTGATGGGGTCCCATGCTGAATAAAAAGAGAACAAGGAGAAAGCTGCCTGAGCACTGGCATTCATTCCTTGGTGCTTCCTGGTCTGCTGAGATGTGAGCGGAAAGCCGCATGCTCCTGAGGCCACAGCTTCAAGTTTCCTGCCGCCATGCCCTCCCCGACACAGTGAGTCCAAACAAGCCCTCCCTCAGGTTCTGTCTGTCACAGCAATGAGAAAAGTAACTAGTGTAGGAACAGTTGGTGCCAATAAACAAACAAACAAACAAACAAACAAATAAAAAGTATTTTCTTCAGTGCCTTTCCTCTTGTGGCCCGGGATATCTTACTTTTTTTGAAGACTGAACTATACATTTTTATTTTGGAAAGTAACTTAAAGAGATGGACAGGTGCGCACCTCAGTTTACAGCGGGAGGCTGTTCTCTGCACCAAAACAGGTCAACAGTGGCCATTCTCCAAAACTGGAAGGTGCTGTTTATTGCCTCTGCCTGAGGTATTGAACATACCGCCACTAAACTGGCTTATAGAGAAGTTCTGCATTCCTTAGTCCCAAGGTAAGAATCGCTTTTCTTTCTCTTCCAGCAATTCCTCATCTTCGAAAGCCTGCACCTATACAGACTTTATAGTCACTGAAATGTGTAGATGACCTTTGACACCTTTCAGTGTTTCCTTGGAGGCGGAGTCCAGGCCAAGCCTTCTATGCTGTTCTTTCATTTACACTACTAGAAGGATCGAGAGAGGACAATTCATGGCTCTGGAGAGGGAGTGATCTCTTCAGCAGCCATCACACACATTTGGGTCTTTTAGTACAAATATAGTCCTTGGCATTTTGTTAACTTTGACTGGTGCAACTGCCATACTTTGCACAGAAAACTTGCAATCTTCAGATACAGAATTGTTTTTCCACACATTTCAAGAGCAATGGCTAATGTTTAGTTTATTTGATAATAAAGCAAGGTGCCCTGGATGCAGTTTGGATCCAGTCATCTGAACCGTATCACTTTACCTCATCATGTGGGGGGAAAGTTCTGGTGCTTAAAGCCACAGTCAACCCAAATGGTGAAACTTTACCTGTGATCCCAGCAGGCACAATTATCCCCCAGAGTCACTGAGCCCCCAGGGGCTACTGGTTCTTTCTCTTCAGGTAGTCAGACATGAAAAGTGGGATTATAGAGGCTGAGGCCTTACTGGTGATGAGGACAGAGGCCAGTGTCTGGAGCATGGTAAGAAGTGTTCTACCCCTGAACTACGTCTCCAACCCAAAGCAGTGCAGGAAAACAAAGCCCTCTTCTCACAGGACTGAATGACTATGAACTCAGGCAGCCTGGCTTGGAAAGCAGTGATCGGGTAAAGCCAGAGTAGGGCATTCTTTAACTTCCATGTCTAACTTTGAGTTTCAGACTGTAATCGCTTGTCTCAGATGAGTGTGGGACACACCATGCTGGGGTACAGAAGAAAGGAGGCTTGAGCAGCCTGGAAAGGTTGGAGCCAACATAGGCTCCTAAAAAAAAAAAAAAAAAACCACTCAGGTGGTGGTGGTGGGGGGCTACTTCAAAGGCATCACCCACTCCCTCAAATGTTGACAAGGGGCTTTGTGGCAGCAAGTGTGGAAAGTGGAGGGTGGGGGCAGCAGAGAGAAATTCGAAATCTCCTCTACAGACTCGGTACAGTTTTCAAACCCCTGGGCTTCTCACGGAGAAATGGAGAATAGGAGAATACACTGGGGAACCTCTCCGGCGTGAAAGATCGGATTTAGGGCTCTTTATCAGTAAGTTCCCCAGGTGAGAAGCCTGTGTGCTTCCACCCCCAGAGAGCTGTGAGTGTTAGGAGTGCTCAACCCGAGATGCCACCTGGAAGAACTGCACATGTGTCTACAGAGGCCTGCACTGTTGCATGGAGGCTAAAGGAACCAGAGACAGAGATCTTTCCACCTCTGCTCCTGCTTGGAAGAGTACGGGTCTAGGATGGACAAGGCCATCGCGCTCTTCTTTGCCCTAACTACATGGCTTTCTGGCACAACAGACCCGCAGACAGACAGACAGACAGACAGATGCCAGACGACCTCTGTACCTGCAGAAGGATCTTGTTGCCATCGTGGTCCTCAGTCTGCCAGCGCCCCTCGCTGATGGGGCTGCAGGGGTTGGGAAGGAGGGGTACCAGCTGCCCAATGTCCTTCACTCGGAACTCCAGCACGGAGGAGTCGGTGGGCACTGGGTTCTGGTCGCAGGGCAGTCTTTTCAGGGAGAACTGGATGTCTATATCCAGGTTGGAGAAGATGGGGAAGATGCAGAAGTCCGCTTTCCGCTGGCTGGGGCTCCGGCGCAGGATCAGCTCATAGAAGCGGAGGCTGTCAGCATAGCTGTCATGGCGACAGTAGATGGTGAAGCGCACGATTTCTTTGCCATAGTGCACGGGCCGGATGGCCCACAGCGGGGTCCCAGGGGCCAGAGTGAAGAAGTCCTGGCTACAGGGCAGATAGGGTAGGAAGCGGCCGTGCACGCGCTCTGTGTGGTGGTGGCGCCAGGGCGGCCGTTGCAGCACCTGGTGCACCTGCAGGATCTGCTCCTCTCCATACTCCTCCTGCAGGAACAGTACCACAGCCACCGCCGGCTGCGCACCCTTGGGGGACTTCCGCCTTCGCCTGCCTGTGCGCCGCTCAGACACTCGGAACAGTGGGAGGTCAGGGTGAACCCACGCCAAGACCTTGTCGATGGCCTCCTGCAGTGGCTGAGATGCCCCTGGGTCTGCGATGATGTGGATGCTCACCAGGAAAGGGTCCTGTGCCTCCTCCACAGAAAGCTCACCTGAGGCACACAGGAATGAATGAATGGATGGGTGGATGGATGGATGGACAGACAGATGGATGGGTGGGTAGGTGGATGATTAGGTGGGCCAATGGTTGAGTGGATATCTGGATGGGTGGGTGGGTGGATGGATAAAAGGGTACATGAGTGGATGGATGTGTGGATGAGTGAGTGGACAGACAGCTGAGTGAATGAAGTGATAATTATTCCATTAAGAGAAACAGTAATGATACATATTGCCTTCACAGGAAGAGAAGCCAAATTCTAACTGAATGGAATCCATGATCTTAGATTTTGTGATCCCAAGTTCTAGAGAGGAAAAGGGGGGTATTGCTTTATGTTGGACCACATTAGAAAAACCTTGGTTCTGTCCAGCAGGTTTCATAGTCTCTTCTAGCTAGGAGAAGCCAAAGATCTTGACTCAGAAAGCCCTAGTGGGCTCACAAGCCCCTTCACACACGTGCCTGTTGTTGTAGGGCTTTAATAATGTTGGATCAAAGGTTGGATCAAATCTTGTCTGGACTCTTCATCTCAACTGTTACCCATCTTGAGAACAGTTGAGTTCATTGTTTCCCTCCTCTTATTCACTCTCACATTATTTGAGCAGCTAATATCTAGCAGGGAGTCGGTAGGGAGTCAAGGAAGACACTAGGAGTCTGTTTAGGAAGACTCTGAATGAACAGTGCTCTCTTATGTGGTCTACAACCTGTGTCGCCTCAGGTGGTGGCTTTTTAAATCACCATACCCATGGGTGAGAGTTTAATGATTAAGGTGGGAAATGCAGATGTGAAAATGCAAATTCAATGTGATATGTGTCTCTAATGAACGAAATAGAAGAGCATCTTGGGATGGGGGTCAACAAGAAGCTAGGACTGCCTATAGAAAATGGGATCTTCCTGAAGTTCTTTTTGAAGTTTCTTTGTACTTGGGTGGAAGGGGAAGTCTAGAGGTCAGACAGCAGGCTGGAGTAGGCTCTTGCTTTCTACCATACGGGACTCACGGACTCAAACTCAGCTCATCAGCCTTGGCAGCCATCACCTTCACCCACTTAGCCAACCCTTGCTACCCTTCCCAAACTTCTAACAAAGAACAGATGGCATGGACCTTCAACAAGACCATACAACTAGATAGGCACATGTTTCTTTGGTTGGATGCCGGATGAAAGAGTCAGCTTGCTTCTGGGCTATATGCAACGGAATTGCCCCATTTCTTTACATACCAAACCCCTGCTTGGAGAACCAAGCTTCACTCTCAACAAGGCTTCAACAGAATATGCTACAGCTTATAGGTAGGCACTTGTGGATTTCCTAAAATGACCACAATGCCCTACCCACAAGTGCTCCCTAAAACACCCACAATCTTTTGTTTTGCTTTTTTCTTTGGTCTGTTTTGTTTATCCCTGTAATGGACTTTGAAGGGCACTGTCCTATGTGCTTGGCACTGAGTAGGGCAGGGAGCACCCAGTGTGGAATGGGGCGTTCACTCTAGTCTGCAGCTGAGGCGTCTAGCACAAGGCTCACTCACTGGAAGAACCTGGGACTGTACTGTCGGAGATACAGGAAGGAGCATCCAGAGCTGAGCACAACACCTTAGGGGTGTGGTTAGGAGCCAGGTAAAGTGGTGAGGCAGGTATGCTCAGGCAAAGCTACTTTTTTCTACAGAATTTTACAAATCTTGAATGAGTCAGTCACCCTTCCTGTGTTCCCAGGTAGATACCTCTGTGGTGGTTTGAATGAGAATGGCCCCATAGGCTGATATGTTCGAATGCTTGGTTCCCAGTTAGTGGAACTATTTGGAAAGGATTAGGAGGTGTGGCCTTGAGAAGAGGTGTGTCACTGGGGGTGGGTTTGAGGTTTCAAAAGCTTAAGCCTATTCCCAGTTTGTTCATATTCTCTCCCCCCTCCCTGTCCCTCTTTCCATCCCCTTTCCTTGTGCTTCTGATCAGATGTAAGCTCTCAGCTACTGCTCCAGTGTCATGCCTGCCTGCTAGCTTCCTAGCTATGATGATCATCATGGTGATGAACCATCCAATTAAATGCTTTCTTTTATAAGTTGCCTTGGTTATGGTGTTTTGTCATGGCATCAGGAATGTAAGAAAGACAACCTCCAACTGCAAAGCTGAGTGTTTAACCTGGCAATACTTTGCCTTGGGGGGGTTTGCTGGCCACCGGGGTGTGTGCTCACTTAAAAACCTTACCTGAGAAAGATGCTTGGCCTTCAAAATGTACTGTGTGCCTTAACCTAAATGTGAAGGATCCTAGGTGAATGTGCTGTGTGTGCCTTTACCTAAATGTGATTGATCTTAGGTGAATCCAGACATCTTTCAACCAAGTGTGAGAGGGATGGAGTATGGTAGGCAGGTTTATCTGGAATCCAGACCTGTCCTCACAATGTCACCAGGTGTGAGGCACACAGTAAGCAGTGGCCCATGACGTCCAAGCAGTGCCGTGGACTTTTAGCAGCCACAATCCAAACCAGCCACAGGATGGCAAGATGTTGTATAGGAGAAAATACTCCACTGAGCCTGGGAGGGGAATGAGGCAGGAAGGACCACCCTAGCTGAGCCCAGGCTAGATCAGACAAAGACAGATGGCAAGCGAGATCTGGCTCAGTCAGGGTTAGACTGTTGACCCAAGACACACGGGAAATAACAAATGAGTGAGGAGACAGGAGTCGACTGTTAAGTAGCAGTACTGAAGATGCAGGTGGAATTGGGGGGAGCAAAAGAAGAGGTGTATTGTCACAGGTTACTTTGGAGGCACGAGGGGTGGCCTTGGAGGCCACAGCCACAGGGCAGTACATACAAAGCAAGAGGGTGGAGCGTGCTGACGTTTCTGTGATGTGTTGTTTAACTGAAGTGAACAGAAGAGAAGGGCAGGTTCAAGGGGAAGACCAAGCACTCCGCCGCCAGACCACCTGGCCTGGCACGGTAGTTACTTCCAGGAGGCTGTCTCTTGGTTATGGGACTTTGATGCTGCTGAAGTGGTGGCCAAATCTAAGGGCGGACCTGCTCCTTGTAGACAATGTCTTGCACGTGTGTGGTTCTATGACGTGTGTGTTTCCATTCAGATTGGAATTATGAAAATCCATCATGCTGGCTCAGAGAACAGTCAGGGGGTTATTCTGGCCAGCTCGGGGCTCCCCCTTTCTGCCTAACTGGCCTCTTCCATTTCATTTCACACTGATACCATCACCAGCAGCGGTGCCGCTGAAGCGGTAGTGAAGGTGTGACCAATCCCTTTCCCCCAGCTCCTCCTCAAAAGACTCCACGGCTGGCTACCACAACGTACACTGCTCTCTCCCAGGCCGCCTCGAACTCCTAAGTCCAAAGACGCACAACTCTGCTAAACACCAGTCAATTCTCAACACAAATGGGAAAGCACAGAAAGGTTTTGAACAAGATGATGATGAAGAAGCTGGGTCAAGGAATTACAGTTTCTGTCACGGAAAGAGGAGTAGATGGAGCAGAAGGAAAGTTGGGAAAAGCAGCTGTCTGAGAAGTGAGGTGGCCCCTTTATGATCCAGAACCTCCTCACAGGGTGTGCACATAGCCAGAGGCCCGGAGTGAACCAACAGGAGTTCTTTTGTAAAGACCTGAGCACGGTGAGCTCATTTAGGCCCGGTACAGCCCTTGAAGTGGCTGAGATCATTACCTTCATTTTAGAGAGCAGAAAATCAAGGCACAGAAGCTAGTTACCCACCAAGAGCGGCAGAGGCAGAACCCGCTCTCCAGCACAGGGGCCTGTGAGCCACTGCACCCCATCCCTGCTGCACCTGCTTCCCAGCGGGAGGCTCAGCTGCCATTCTCATCCCCACCCACATCTGGCTATGCTGCCCCACCTTTCCCTCTCCTTCTCAGTGGCTCCTTCCAGCCACCAGCTTTGGGTCTCAGATATTCATTTGCATTACTTTCCTCTGGCCCTGGGTCTCCTCCTGAGGGCAAGCATTCACAGAAGTCACCTCTCTCTTGGCTCCTGCTAAAGTCTTTACATCTCAGCCACTGCCCCCTGCCTGGAGGGCAGCACAGGCCAGAGCCAAAGGTGGTGGTACCCAGGAAATAAAAACAGAACAGAGATTTCAAGAAAGTGCACAGGTGGGCAGGAGAGGCTGGGCATGAAGAAGCCAGGGGAGTAGAAGCTAAATTTCCCAAAGACTCTAGAGTTGTCAGAGCCCTCAGCCTTATGCCACCTCCTGCAGCCACATAAAGGTTTCCCAGAGAGCAGGCACAAAGGCTGAAGCCTGCCTGGATGGTTGTGTGTTTACAGCTCTGCAAAGGGCAGGCTGCCCAGCCTGGGAGAGTGAGCTGGGCTCCACCCCTGACTGCTGGCAACCAGGATGTAGCCAAGATCCAGCAGGTGGAAGACAAGGCCAGAGCCTGAATTGCCCTTGGGCTGCATGAACCAGGAGCCAGGAGAGGCTGAAGTCCTGCTCCAGCCCAGCTCTGAAGAACAGGCAGTGACATATGTATGCTTGCTGGTGCTCACTGCACGTGACCCTGAAACAGCTCTAAGCTGTCATCAGGCACTAGGATTACATGTGCACCTTTACGGCACTGATCAGGAAACCAACTGTTTGAGGGGAAGGAGAGAAAATGTGAATAATTAATTGTCATGAAAAGCCTCTAGACCTCCCCGGAGAAGCACTCGACACACTGCGCCAGGATGTGCACTGCCTTTATCATATCTATTACCTGTCTTTTCCAAGGACCCCACAGAGCACCTGCTCCATCAGGGCAAAACACAGCAAAAAGCAACACCACAAGACCGTCCCATGCCGCCTGAGAGACTGGGAGCTGCCACAGGGACAGGATTGCCTTCCAATTAGCCCAAGTCTCCAGAAAGGAGAAGGAGGGCTCCTCCTGTGGTTCCAGGATCAGAGTGGAGCAGCTCCAGCGTTAAGGAGAGCAGAGTTGAAACCAGGCCTTCTCTGAGAAAGGATGTGTAGCCAGCCCAGGTTTTCTGCACGCCCCCCTCCCCCCAACAATCTTTGATCCTGTAAAC